GGGGGGGGGGGGAACGAACGAACTGTTCAAAACATGGATGGTGCTTCCTGTAGAATTTTAAAGAAATGTCATTAATAATAATCCAGAGTTTTTACCTGAACTTCATTGGTTTTCTGTCTAATTGAGTCCTCCTTTTCTCTAATGTCCTGCTCTAGTGAATACTTTTCTCTGTAGGGAAAACATTCACATGACTGATACAATTAAAATAAGACAATATTTTACAAAAAGTCAATTAAATGTTCTGTTGTAAACAATGCACAGATGAAAAAGCAATCCTACATTTGTGTCATACTTTCAAGAAGTAATTAAGAAATATGCTTTTTCATATTTAAAGACTGATTTGCCCCACAATCAGTCTTCTCATTTCATGCACTAGGCTCCAAGTAACCTTCTAGGCACTGCTCCTGATCTCAGTGTAATCAGTGGGAGTTATTATTAACTTCAAAGACAGCCAGATAAGGCTCCTGAACTGTAGCATCCAAGAGACAATATAGGACCAATGGAAGTAATGATCACCAGTAACCAAAGCGAAGTAATACTGAAACTGTTCTACTAATCAGGGATTCAACTATTCCATTTAAATGAAAAGGAAGGTTTTAGTTTGTGCAAAATTTATTTTACTTACCTCAGAGTGACATTTCAGAATGAACTACTCTGGCTATAAATAAAAAAATACAGTGAACAATTGGGTTCAATTATATAAAAGGTGATGGGATCCTATTTTTGATCGTACCATATATACACACACACACTTTTTTTTTAAAAACAAGAATCTATGGAACCAATAAATGTACTGCTCCCTAATGAACTGGACTAAGAAAGGTTTCCTCTTTTTTGGAGGGCACAGCGGTTAGAAAAACTGTTATGCAATTTGTTAAGAGCCATCATTAGTGAGGAAAATCCTCCATTTCACAGGTTCAGAATTCTTAACTTTAACAGTACACTATATTTACCTCTGCAGATGTGCAATCTCTTGACTAATATCATCGAGTTCTTTCACGCCTGTAAATTCTCCTGATCCGACAGAACTTGAACTATCCTGTAAGAAATCAAAATATTCCATTATAAAGCAAGCCAAATGAAGAACAGGAACGTATTCTGGGCAAAGATTGAAGACACAGGATCCACCCCTCACTTTACACTTGGCCAATGTACATGGCAGAGGGGCATTGCTGGCACATGATGGCATACATCACATTGGTAGATGTGCAGGTGAATGAGCCCCTGATGGTGTGGCTGATGTGATTAGTTCCTAGGATGGTGTCCCTTAAATAGATATGTGGACAGGGTAGGCACCGGAGTTTGTTGCAGGGTTTGGTTCCTAGGTTGGGGTTTTTGTTGTGTGGTGTGTAGTTGCTGGTGAGTATTTGCTTCAGGTTGGGGGGGGGGGTGGTCTGTAAATGAGGACTGGCCTGTTCCCCAAGGTCTGTGAGAGTGAGGGATCGTCCTTCAGGATAGGTTGTAGATCCTTGATGATGCGCTAGAGATGCCACTAGCCGTCACCTAGAGTCCCCAACTAAAACCTCTCCAGCGCTTCATCAAGGATCTACAGTCCTCGCTTACAGACAGCCCAAGCCCCCCCAACCTGAAGCAAATACTCACCAGCAACTACACACCACACAACAAAAACACCGACCCAAGAACCAAATCCTGCAACAAACCCCGGAGTCTACTCTGTTCACATATCTATTCAAGGGACACCATCATAGAATCTAACCACATCAGCCACACCATCAGGGGCTCGTTCACCTGCACATCTACCAATGGGATATATGCCATCATGTGCCAGCAATGCCCCTCTGCCATGTACATTGGCCAAACCGGACAGTCTCTACACAAAAGAATAAGTGGACACAAATCTGACATCAGGAATCATAACATTCAAAAACCAGTAGAACACTTCAATCTCCCTGGTCAGTCAATAACAGACCTAAAAGTAGCAATTCTTCAACAACAACAAAACTTCAAAAACAGACTCCAATGTGAAACTGCAGACCTGGAATTAATTTGCAAACTGGACACCATCACACTAGGCCTGAATAAAGCCTGGGAGTGGTTGGGTGATTACAAAACCTAAACCTGATTTTCCCAATACAAATTTCCCCCTACTGTTAGTCACACCTTCTTGTCAACTGTCTGAAATGGGCCACTCTCATTACCACTTCAAAAGTTATTTTTCCTCCTTTGGTATCCTGCTGTCAATTGAATTAGACTGACCTCATACTTGGTAAGGCAACTCACATCTTTTCATGTATTTATACCTGCTCCTGTATTTTCCACTCCATGCATCTGATGAAGTGGGTTCTAGCCCACAAAAGCTTATGCCCAAATAAAATTGTTAGTCTCGAAGGTGCCACAAGGTGCACAAGGTTGTTTTTGCTGATACAGACTAACACAGTTACCACTCTGAAACCTGTAGAAGCTATAGTGACAGGCATTCATCACCAAACACAGAGTATGCTGGAAGTTAAGGGGCCAGATTCAAAGGTTCTCTCTCACTTCTTAAGCAGGGAAATGCTCATTAAATGATCACTGAGGAAGGACCTCAAGATTTGGCCTTAAGTATAATTAAAATCAGCATTTCTATTCCCCTGAAAAGTGACAGTATTTGAGAGAGAACTGTAAACCGAATCTTCTCAGCTTTCATTGTCTGTTTGACAATCAGGACATCTACAGTATTTAACTATATTTTTAAACAATACACTGCAAAAGGCTTCTTACTATTATGATGGAAAAAATGGGCTTTTTTTCTTGTTAAGCACAAAATATGTGTTGTTGTTTTTTTAGCAGAAACTAGCAACTCAGAATGAAGGAATAGGGGACCTGAGTTCCCAACTTACATGATTTAACATCTTAAGACCCTACTTTGGGAAGATGAGGGATCCTTTGGCTTGCATGTTTAGTTGGGGTCAGGTAAGCATAAGGAAAACCTAGATACTAATTCTTAGATTTACTGGACAACAGCTCCCTGTTGTCTAACACTACTCATATTTTATAAGTACAAACAAACAATCACTAGAAACAGAATATGCATTCCAACTTGCTTGCAAATATATAGTTAAAAATATGAGCCGCCATGTTAGTCTCTTAGGGTATGTCTACACAGCGCGACAGCGCTTTAACGTGGCTGTGTAGTTGCGCTCCAGTGCTGGGAGAGAGCTCTAAGGCACTCTCCCAGCGCTGTAATAAAACCACCTCTGAGAGGGGAATAGCTCCCAGCACTGGAGTATTATCTACACTGCCATTTCACTGCGCTGAAACTTGCATCGCTCAGGGGGGTGTTTTTTCACACCTTTGAGCGAAGAAAGTTTCAGCGCTGTAAGTGGCAGTGTAGACAATGCCTTAGACAAATACAGCCCACTAATCAAAATGAACAAAAAGTTCATAAACTACACTCAGATAAGGTGCCATTTTTTTCATCAGATAAGGTGCCATTTTTTTAATGCTACATTTAACTATAAACATAGTAAATCAAAAATATGAAGCAATGAATTAAAGAATGAGTGGGAAGTTTAAGGATCTTGCACCAGGGTATATTTATTGGCAGCAATTTAATGTAAGTTACGGACCTAGTAATTTAATATGCCAACATTGAGCTACCTGTCAAAACAAGTGCTTGAAAAATTAATGGATCTCAGATTGTTGAAGGAGCTCATACCACTGGCTAAACAGCCAGAAGCGGCAGGCTCACATTGTAATGACATCACCACACTGTTAGGTGTCCTATGACACCAGTGCTGAAGAAATGGTGAAAGACACAGAAATAAAGAACTCAAAGTTACAACTGGACTATACAAACAAATTTGCATTCTTTGGAGTGTTCCAATTACTCACACGACGCATTTCTGTTAGCGCTGAGATCTCAGTTCCTACAGGGGTCAAGTAACCTGACAGAGTCTACAGAGAAAGGATATAGGAGAAATAGAAGAGCTTCAGAGAATGGCAACAAAAATGGTCACAGGCCTGGAAAGATTTCCATTTGGGGAGAAAATGAAAAGATTAAGACTATTTCATTTACAGACAAAATTATAAGAAGTGATATGACAAGTGCATTGTATGCATTGAACGAGGGCAATGTGAGTGTCAAGGAGGCCCATAGATGAAGGGTGAAATACATTTGAAATAGATAAAAGGAAATTCTCCCCCTACAATCCTGGAAACACACAATGAATGCTTTGACCACCTGTAGGACTCACTGCTACAAGCTATTGAGGTAAAAAGCATAGTAGGAGTTAGAAAAGAATTAGACATTTATGTGACTAATGTAGAGTATTATTAATACAGCTAATTACACTAATATTAAAAAGATATACGGGTTACCCTCATGCTTCAGGGAATAAACTGTTAATTGCCAGGAATTAGGAAGTCATTTCCCCCATTACGAGGATTTTATACTTTCAAGGGAAGCATCTAGTACTGCCACAGTCAGATCAATCATTGATCTAATCTGCTTTGGCAATTCCTATGTTATTTTCATTGTCTTGCCAGGTCCATCTATTTCATATTGCTTCTAATGTCAACTTCTCAAATTCCCTTATTTTCTTTAGTGATCTTCTAATTTCTTAAGACAAGAATTAACATTTTTCTGGTTTCTTCATCCCAGCTGTTTCTATGGGTAGGTCCACACTACCCGCCCGATTCGGCGGGTAAAGATCGATCTTCTGGGATCGACTTATCGCGTCTCATCTGGATGCGATAAATCGATCCCAGAAGCGCTCCCCCATCGACTGCGGAACTCCTGCTCGCCGAGAGGAGGAAGCGCTGTCGACGGGGGAGCTTGCCTGCGCCGCGTGGACCCGCAGTAAGTAAACTTAGTTCGATCTAGGAAACGCTATTCTCGTAGCTGAAGTTGCGTTTCCTAGATCAATCCCCCGCCCCAGTGTGGACTAGCCCTATGAGTTTTCTGTTAATCTTGTAGGACTTCTTCCTTTGTGGCATCTCTGCAAAATTCTTAATCTCAGACTTCATTCAGAGCTATAATTCACTTTTAGATTATTAGCTCTACAAGACCTTCAAATTCAGTATTCACTCCTCCTTTCTAAATTTGCTGAGTTTTTCTCCTTTCTCTCTCACTCAGCACAGCCACTTCCTACATTTCAGGTCAACTCATTAGGAAGTCTATCTCATTCAAACCAGTTAAAAAAGGGAAAGGTTTTCTAATAAATAAATATTTAAAAAAGAAATCTTAACTATTATGATGTAAGATGAGCATGCAGACAGAAAAATATACCCTATTTCAGAGCTCTTCTGTTTAGCTGTACTATAATGTAAAAAAGTGAGCTGTTTATTTGATGCCTAGTCATTCATTAATGATTTCCTAGAGATGTGTGTCAGTCATATCTTCCTGACATCTTGTCCTCCTATAGCATCTGCGATGCTGACCTCTCCTCATACACCAAGAAAGATCCAGAGAAGTAGGAGGATCTCTTTTGGGATCCTTCTCTCATTTCCCATTTTCTGTAGGACTCCCAGAAGCAATGTTGACTCTACATTTTGTTTTGTTTTGTTAACTGAACAAGCTACCACCTCCATGAAGCACTATATTTTTGGCCTCGGGCAAGCTTATACTTTTTTTATTTTTAAAGTGAGTAGTGTATATGGGGGTGGGTGGGTGGAATTGTGTTTGTGTGTGTATTATGTATGTATGTAAGTAAAGGTGTGTTGGGGCAGTGAAGGGTGTGCCGGGGGAGGGGGCTGGCTACTCCATGGTGGCTCATCTCCAGTAGCACACACTAGTAGTTCCTGTCCCTGGGATTCACTCTGAAGCAGACTTAGGAGCCTGGCCAGGCATGTGGGATGGGCAGGCAGTGGTGTCAGATGGAACTCCCCTGGGTTGGGGGTTTCAGACACCCCTCTCCCCGGGCACTCGCATAAAAGGGCCCAGTCTGCAGCTCCCTCCTCTGCTGCCTTTTGGCAGCAGCAATGATTACATTCCTGGAAACCAACTGCCAGGCAAAGTGGGTGAGGGTATGTGCGCTTTGACCACGTCAGACCACAGCTCCAGAACCTCCACTGACCTGGGCTGGCGCTGCAGAGCCTGGACAGGCCCCTTACCTGAGCTCATCCGTAATGAGAGTCCTGGAGTGTGTCCCCAAGACCTGAAGGGCTTCCATTCCCCTTGCAGGGAAGAAGTGGGGCTGTATGCACCCAGTCATCAAGACAGGGGGAAAGAGCAGAGTGGGTTCTTAAAGGGCCGCACCACATCCCTGCTGAAGCTGCACAGAGGAGACGTGAGCAGCATGGCTGCACAGCTTACACAGAGAACATTGCCACAAGGCTCTGTCCTTAGCTCACTCTCTCACCCTTTATTCCCTACTTCTGGGTGACCTCATCCACTTACATGAATTTCATATACATCCATTTCAATTACAGTACAATCCCTATTTTACAAACTAACTGCGGATTGAGGAGTTCATAATATTGAAAAATTCAACATCTGAAAATTACTGTAGATATGGTTCATAAGTACACTATGATACAGTGCATTGCCGTCTTTTTGTCTTTCAAACCATAGCAAAGCAATTTCCAGTGCACTGAAGGCATTGGGATGTGAAGGGCTGTCAACTTGTTCTTCATCGACATTCATTTACATTATGTGGGATTTTTTTTCTCCTCTCAGGAAAAATGGTTTGTATCACTGGTGCTGGTATGATTAGTGTTCATAAAATTGAAGTTCTACTGTACCATCTTTTCACCAGTCACTCCACTCCCCCTCACTTGTTTATTTTTTCCACCTATTGGCTCTCATTGTATGCTAAGATTGTAAGCTCTTTTGGGAAAGGAGCTATCTTTATATTGTGTGTGTGTACAGTGCCTAGCAAAACCGGGCCAAGGTCCCTGGCTGGAGCTTGAAGGTGCTACTGCAACACAAATAATAAATAAGTCTACCTCCACTTTAGATACGCCTTCCTCCAATCCCATCTCAGTCTCTATCTCATGACACCTGCCAGATGTCTCACTGTTAAATTTTATGTAGCCAAAATTGAATTTTTTCACTCCAAAGCACTTCCCCCAGTCCTCCCTTCTCTCTCACTGTTTGACAACATCACTATCATTCCTGTGCTCAGGCTCGCACCCTGGTAGACATCTTTAACTTCTCTTTCTCTGAGTCTGCAAAATCTAGGCTGTGTCCAAATCATGCCACTTCTTCCTCCACAATGTCTAGAAGATATACTCTTTCCTCTCTGCCCTGACAGAAAAACCTTTGCCCTTGTCTACTTGCTTGACTGTGTATTTCATTTTGCTCCTGCTCCCACTCCCTCTCCCCTTCTTGTTACCCGGTTTATCAGAGTCTTCAAAGTTTATCAAAGAAACACCAGAAATCCTAAAAAGTTTTCTGAAGTAAACAAAAATATTAAATTACTTAAATAAGAACGTTGTCCAGTTCATAACAGTTAATCATCTGTTTGTAGAAGATATAGCTGACACAGAAGTCAAACACTAAAAATGTTAAAAGCACCTGAGTGATTTAGGGACCTACATCCTATTTCCAAAAGTGACTTGGGCACTTAGGAGCTTAAGTCTCAAGTTTCAATTACACTTAAGCACCTAAGTCACGTTTGAAAATGTTACTCATTATCTATCTAATAGTACAAGGATCAATGACAACAACAGTGAATGAAAAGTGTAAGCTTGGAAATAAGGTTAAGAGAGAAAGGGAGAGAGATACTTTACTAAGAGCAACTCCCATTCACTCACCTGAACTTGCTAAGTATGGCAGGGTTCTAGTCTAACCTATCATCATCATGCTGGAAAAGTTTTCCCTTAACGTGAGAATGATTGATAAATAAGACAAAATATCACCACCACTTTTGTGATGAAGATATATTTTTTAATAAAAAATTTAAAGTGGAATTTTTCCAGGCACAAGGTAGGATTCCCTCTGGTAATTGTGAAACTGGCGTCATATTTTTGAAAACTACCAAGGTAACGGACAACTCATTTAATATGATTTTTTGCAATTTATAACCAATTCATGAAGCATTTTTTGAAATCTGAAACTCAGTTATAAACAGAAGATAGACAAACATTCTTGTAAGTTAAAGATTCAACAATTCAATGGGTACAAAATATAAATAAAAAATTAACAGCTCTCAAAGCTAGTTCCTTTCAAATCACATATTGGTCCAGTAGAGCAATATATTTATTAATAACCAATTACTTACTTGTATGGGAGTATTCCTCTCTGCAGGAGGGATCATATCTGGGGACAACACCTGCGGAGGATCAATCCCTTTACTGACCTTCTGTTGAATGAAATACATGGCTAGTGCAAACTGATCTTTGCTTAGCTTTCCCATCTGTCTTGTGTCTGCCAATGCCCTGTTAGAAATTGGTTATTCTTATTGTAAGTCAAAATGTGTTATAAACCAAACAACTATTATTACAATGAAATCTGAGATACAAATACATATAATTTTATTGTTGTTTTGGCCTCCTCAGAGCCCATTTCCTCACTGGAAAAGTTCTACATGCTGAGCTATGAATGTTTTATTAGATACACTTAACTGAATGAAACATCATTGTTTTCTTGGGAAAATGCTTTTGACTTTTTAGCCAGTTGAGTGATAGGACTGCTAAAATGTTCCCCATTCATGGAATAGTCTATATAATACGAGTACTGATTGCAAGTTATACCACTATTACAGAGACATGATAAGGAGGGGTATGTTTTCAAAGTTTCATAGATCTCTCCAATGCCTTCCAAGTAGAATCATAGTATCATTGAAATGTAGAATTGGAAGGGACCTTGAAAGGACATCTAGTCCAGTCCCCTGCCTTCACAGCAGGACCAAGTACTGTTCCTGTCAGACTGTTTTTCCCCAGATCCCTAAATGGCCCCCTCAACGACTGAACTCACAATCCTGGGTTTAGCAGGCCAATGCTCAAACCACTGAGCTATCCCCCAGGTGTTTGTCTAACTAGTTCTTAAAACCTCCAATAACAGAGAGTTCATAACTCCCTGGATAATTTGCTCAAGCGCTTAACTACCCTTACAGTTAGGAAGTTTTTCCTAATGTCTAACCTAAATCTCTTTTGCTGCAATTTAAGCTCATTGCTTCTTGTCCTGTCCTCAGTGGTTAAGAACAATTTATCACCCTCCTCTTATAACAACCTTTTATACGTGAAGACTTATGTCCTTCCCTCAATCTTCTCTTTTCCAGACTAAACAAACCCAATTTTTTCAATCTTTTCTTGTACACCATGTTTTCTAAACCTTTAATAATTTTTGTTGCTCTCCTCTGGACTTTCTCCAGTCTGTCCACATCCTTCCCAAAGTGTGGTTTTCAGAACTGGACACAATACTCCAGTTGAAGCCTTATCAATGCTAAGTACCGTGGAAGAATTACTTCTCATGTCTTGCTTATAACACTCCTAATACATCTCAGAATGACTTTTGCTTTTTTTTTTGCAACAGTATTTCATTGTTGACTCATATTAGTTTGTGACCCACTATAACCCCACATCTTTTTCTGCAGTACTCCTTCCAAGCCAGTCATTTCCCATTTTGTATTTGTGCAGTTGATTATTCCTTCCTAAGTGTAGTAGTTTCCATTTCTCCTTACGGAATTCATCCTATTTGATTCAGACCATTTATCCAGTTTGTTAAAATCATTTTTAATTCTAATCCTGTCTTCCAAAGCATCTGGAACCCCATCCCATCCGAAGAAGTGGGCTGTAGTCCACGAAAGCTTATGCTCTAATAAATTTGTTAGTCTCTAAGGTGCCACAAGTCCTCCTGTTCTTCTTTTTGCGGATACAGACTAACACGGCTGCTACTCTGAAACATCCCAGCTTGGTACTGTTCACAAATTTAACAAGTGTACTCTCTTTGCCATTATCCAAATCCTTTATGAAGATAGTGAATAGAACTGGACACAGGACAGATCCCTCTGGGACCCTACTCAATATGCCCTTCCAGCTGGATTGTGAACCATTGATAACTACTCTGAGTATGGTTTTCCAGCCACTTGTGCACCCACCTTATAGTAGGTTCATTCAAGCTACATTTCTCTAGTTTATGAGAAGGTTATGTGAGATAGTATCAAAAGCCTTACTAAAGTCAAGATATATCACATCTGATTCCCCCCATCCATAAGGCTTGTTACCCCATCAAATAAACAGCTTTAATCTGAATATGAGAGGAAGGGAAGAAAATTGATTTGGTTGTTCTCCTTGAGAGAATTTATCCTTACTTATAAATGTATGCAATGTTGTTGAGATAGTATGGTAAAAGAAGCCCTACAGCTATGAAGAAGAATAGCAGTGGCAGTCAACAAGGGAATTGCTAGTATCACATTTCTGGATGAAAAATGCTATTTCCTCGAGTCAACTAGCTGAAAAAAAAAAAATCAAACCAAAGCAAAATCAAAACAACTAATGATGAAGTCTTACCATATATGTGCTAGAAGATTCTGAGACAGGCCTGAGTGTATAAAAATATCCTTCACTTCTTGGCCGCTCACATAGCCATCCATGTCCATATCGGTTTTTAAGAAAATTTCATCGTATCGCACCTTATCAGACATTGGTACCACCCAATTCACAGATGGCTGAAAAACAAAAAGGTTTGTTATGTTAGCCAAAACCAAATACAACGTTTATTAATACACTGAGGACTCACCTGTGCATAATGCTGAGTACCCTCAACGTCAACAGAAATTGAGGGGTGCACAACATATTGTAGGATCAAGCCTATAAACAGTCCACTGACATTTTCCTTCCCTTCAGTAATGTATCAAGATTAATACTGTATGTGAGCATCTCACAAATACTGAGAAATAGAATGTTCATAAACTGGTTACATTCTTCCTACTTATAGACAGACTTACTGACACCCCAGACTGATGTGCTTATTGACAGTGCTCTGCACTGCAACTCAGGAGATCCATACTGGAGTCCTGGGCGCAGATTCATCCCTACACTGCTGCTAGGGCTGATGCAGGGACAAGCTCCCTCTCTCGTGAGCTCACGCTACTGATCATGCCATTAAGATTCGTGCTAAAAGAGAATTCACCCTTTAACATTCAGCTGTCCCCACACCCTGTGACATCATTTGTTTTCAAAACATAAAATACTTTCTCTCAAAAAAGTGCTTTCCTTGGGAAGAAAAGTGATCCAGCAAAAAGTCATTTCATTATTTTGCACAGTTCATTGCAAAAGATATAAAAATTAACATGAGACTTGTACCTGTGTTTGCTTGATGCTGTGTTTGGGTGACAAACTTCCTGTGCTATTCAGGCTGTTTACACTACCATGGGATGGGGTAGAACGAAGGCTATCTTTAGGTGGAGGACTTGCAGGAAGAACAGGAACTGCACCAGGAAAAACTGGCGTCTTCTTTCTTTTGGAAGGTGGTATAAGTGGGGGGGGTAATACTGAGGGAACTGGCTCCTTCTCAAGAGCTCTATATACCAAATGCATTGCCTGCAAAGGCAAAAGTTAAAAATATCTGTAATACACCAATGAAGAGAGGAACACACAACAAAAAGTTTCCAATGGTAAGTGTCCAAAATACTAGGGAGAAGGAGGTAAACATGATTAGGTCAGAGCAGAGCTGTACACAACTTTGAATGCAGGACAAAATGTTTAAACTTGATACTCTGGGCAAGAGCGGGCCAGAGGAGGGTTTCAAGGAAGACCATTTTAGTGGCTGTAATTTGAATGATCTTGAGTAGGGCGCAGTGTGGATAATGAGCGGCCAGAAAGGAGGAGTTTGCAATGCTTAAGACTAAGTTCAAGGAAGCAATAATACCTACACATTGCTTTGTCAAACTTTTAATGAATTCAGAATTTAAAACCTACCACAGCAAATTCATCCTTGTCCAGGTGTCCATCTTTGTCAATATCACTGAGATCCCAGACCTACAGTATTTAGGCAAAAATTAAAGTTGAAGAACATGTTACAACAAATTTTATTAGTTAGAATATAAGTTAATAAGTAGGTTAGAAAATATTAATTGTATTAAGAATGTTAATGCCCTCTAGAAATTTGAGGTGCATTTTCTGAAGATCATATTAGTTATGGTAATATACACAGAAGCATATGTTTAGGGCTGACAAGAGACGTAAAGGGATACAAAGTCTCATCTGCTCTAGCACTTATACTTCAGCCTATGTTATCATAACTAATATGATTATGATGGAGGGGCTGAGTGGTACAGTGGATAGGAGACAGGATGGCGACGCAGGGCTCTATTTCCTAGCTCTGGCATAGATTGCAGTGTGACTTTAAGCAAAACTTCTTATCTTCTTGTGGCTGTTTCCTTTCCCGCACTTTATCTGTCTTGTCTATTTAAACTGTAAGCTATCTGGGGCAGGACTGTTTCATGTATGTAGACCCCTAGACATCACCAAAACAGAAATAATAATACAGAGTCTGAAGCCTTTTAACACCAAGTGCAGCATAATGTTCAAGTGCAAGATTAAACAATTACTTTTTCATTCACATCAAGGCAAAGAAGGAAGTGGTCTTTCATGGTCAGAATAAAAGCATATTTCAGGAGAGATAGGGCTCATGTTGAACTAGTTGGAACCCAAACTTGGCCCTGGCACAGAACACACAAAAGGGTGTATATAGTCAAGAATATGGTTTAAAAAAAAAAAAGAAAGAAAAGAAAAACTGTTTAAGGATATTTACTGCATGTATTACATATTTATGAGGGGAGCCACAGAGGTTCAAAGCTATTGCTCAAAAACAATACAGAATGTGTAACAAAAGTACAATGCAACACTATTTAAAACCCCTGGTTTACTGATGCTTTCACAGGACAACCTGTTCCAGAGTATATGCATGATAGTTGGAGTTTATATTTAAAGTTGGTTTAATAACTCCTAGTTAGGAAAAAAAGCTAGTAGAATATAATGCCCTAAAAGGCATTATTGCTTAGGTCAGGACAGCTTTTCTAACTAAGAGGCATTCATTTTCCTTTTAAACTGACTTGTTTTTCAATTTAGTAATTTTTGAACTAAAGTTTTTGTTCTTAAAAGAATACAAGACAAATTAAGCTGATCCAGCTTAGGGCCAAGTTTTTTGTTGTTGTTTTGCTTTTAAATGGACTACTTATTTAAGTGTCTAAATAATGGTTTAGAGAGAGTAACTTTAGGCAGCCATTTTTTAAAAATCTTGGCCTAGATCTGAACTATTGCTTCCATTTAAAGTAATACTGTTATGATCAGTTACATTACATATTTAATTTCATTAGCAAGAGAAGTTACATTAAAGAATGGTTAGGAAAATTTGCCGCACACTTACCCTTCCTAGGATATCAAGAGGTAGCTTTGAGTTCATCAGTACTGGTTTTACTTTGTCTCCTGAAAGTAAACCGTTTACTGGCAAAAGGCTTTCAAAAATACCATCAAACTTTGCTTTTTCTTCCACCTAGTTGGTAAGAAATAGCCTGAATAAGTAAAAAAGTGTGCCTGTGTGAGTGTCGAAAATTAAATCTTGCAAGAAACTAAGTGACTGGTCAGTAATTTATCATTTTAACTTCCTAGTTTCCAAGCGCACAACTGTATGCTATATCCTAAACAGTGTGCTGTATTTAGATGTAAAACTCATGGACCAGGCTTTAGGACCTTATTTTTCTCAGCATGAAAACAAGCTTTCTGGAAATTACAGGACTGGGGTTACAATATGCATTTCTCTAAGTGTTCTAGAAAGACAAAGCATTTTGATTCACACACTAGTGCCCAGATTTTAAGTTACGAAACTTTCAGAGATCATTTACACTACTAAGAAGTGTTACTTTCAAAGATTTTGCTTCCTACATTATAATATAATGTACAAACTAGAAACCTCTATTTAAATGATTTGATAATTTAAATTTTCCACAAGCAGAAATTTTATTTTACATTTATAACATAAAATTAGAAAATTAAGTTATAAAATACAGGATCTGTAGCAAAAATTACTGTTTTCATTAGACCATACAGCAGGCACGAAAGAAATCATAATCTTAGAAGGTTGTGGGTTCAAGTTCCAAACTAATACTTGGGGATGGGATTGGTGAAGTGCTTCATTGTTCTTTAGATCAAACTCAAAGTGCCTTCTGCTCTGGCAGCTAGGCAGAAGATAAAAACCTTAGAGCACAACCCTCATGTCCTGGACAATGCTTCTTACAAATATTATACCAAATGCTGACAGAGGCTTGTTACAAGACTTATATTAAATATAGAAATATATAAATATCCATATTCAGTACTGTGTAACGTTCACATGTCTGCTTCAATAAAGGAAGGTGTTCCAAAGTGGGAAGTATGTTCTCTTGGTAAAATTAATCTATCAAACACAGCTGCCAGAAACAGAATTTACATTTAAAGAATGGATTCAAATGTATTGTCTTGTACACTTACCCTAACGGCCCAGTGAGCCTCTGTTGAAGGAGGTGTGATCAATAAGGGACTGCTAGTGTCATGCTAAAATGAAAAAAGTAAATATGTTTATGCACATGTAGCTTTCTCTTTAATATTTAAATGTTTTACAGATGGCTATTGATATGAAGTATTTCATTTGTTATACTGAAAAGAGAAAAAAAAAACTCTTGCATATCTTATCCAAATAGAAAAAACTTTAAATGTCATATTATTATTATTTATTTGTATTATTGTAGCACCTAAGGGCCTAGTCACTGACCAGAACCCCATTGTGCTAGGTGCTATACAATCACAGAACAAAAAGACAATCCCTGATCCAAAGAGCTTACAATCTATGTCCTGTAACTATCAGGAGACTAATTTGTAAAGTAGAAAAGATTTCCCCATTTTTCATTTTAAGCTTCAGTTCTGAACTTAAAAATATCACTTACAAATTTAGGAGGTGGTATAGTCAAGTTTAGATTGCTCAAGTTAACATCATGGCCATTCTGTGCACATGCTACGAGTCGCAATGCAACATAGAAACCCTACAAATTCAAACACAAAAAGTAAATGCAGGGCATTCTGTTAATAAAAACAAGCAATCTAACTCACTGTTTTTAAGCAGGATAATCTGTATATTGTTTTTTATGATACTATGCAGATACCATTGCTTAAATGATGAAACCACATTTCATAGAATCATAGAATATCAGGGTTGGAAGGGACCTCAGGAAGTCATCTAGTCCAACCCTCTGCTCAAAGCAGGACCAATCCCCAACTAAATCATATGGGGAGATGTTAAATTAATTGCTCTCACACTCCCACCCCTTCCATTTATTTCTATCTTTATATATTTCTACAGCTGATTTTTTAAAGAAAAGAAAAGGAGACTTTGCAACAACTTTGTGTACAGCCTTTTTGGCTTAAGGAAAGAAACCCAATCAATAGTATACATTCTAAAAAATGCTTTCCCACAATTAAGCCATTGTTGCCAAACACTTTTTCTTAAAAATGAACTAAGTTTTAACAAATCCAAACCCCACAACCTGCAAAAGCTATTTAATATCCCAAATCATTAACAACAATATATGGGTAGACTTAGCCATTACATTTTAAAACAAAATTTGAAATGCCGTTCTTCATTCATTTATTTGCCAAATCCTGAGTTCAGCTTTTGTAACTCTCTTCCAAAAACTGATGCCATTACAAACACCCACAGGAGCTGCCAGCATAGTTGCATTCCCTGTTCTGCGTTTGCAATGGAAACACACAATCCTGAACTCAAGATCTAGCAAGTAAGCGAAAGAGAAATTGCTTTCTAAATATATTTTAATGTATGTATTTGTAATTTAAGCTTAAATGGCCTGTTTGTGATTTGTGATATTAAATAATCTTTAAAATGTTTTCCTAATATTTGGAAGTTCACCTTCAATTTTCTTAAATTTCTTGGACTTTAAGCATATCAAAATATTGTCAAATGCCCATATTTGCTACAGTATTTGATTAGTTTATTTTCATAATTTTTGTTAACCACAAATACCTAGAGTATTTTTAACAAGTTGCGACACAGTGGTGAGAATCAGCAGCCGAACCAGCACTTTAGTCACTGTAAGTCCAATTTGTTTTTTCCAGTGAAGGGCCTGATTGAGGGAAGCAGGGGCTAATTACTAGATCAGTCTGAGCCAGGGCTGCTCCGAGGGGGGGGGTAGGGGGGGGGGCAAGTGGAGCAATTTGCCCCAGGCCCCCATGAGAATATAGTATTCTACAGTATTGCAACTATTTTTTATGTAAGGGGCCCCCCAAATATTGCTTTGCCCCAGGCCCCCTGAATCCTCTGGGCGGTCCTGGTCTGAGCTCAGGGAGCTAAGGAGCTAGTTATTCACTAACTGGAAAAGTAGAAAGGCACAGGAAAGAAGTGTAAGGAGAAAATGAGAGAAAGGGTGGGAAAGGATAGGCAGGGCCAGGGTAAAGGGAGATCTCTATGTGGATGATGTTTGTATATCACTGTAAACAGAGCTGCTGCATGGGACTGTAAATGGGTGGTTGTTGGGATAAACCCAAATAAACTACATGTCGGTGTTTACAAACTGGAGGTATTAGAGCCATTTGAATGAGAAGACAGTAGAAAAGGACTGTGCCCTGTCACACATGTGCATTTATTTTTTCAAATGACAGAAAAATATAACTAACTAACTAATGGGAATATCTCCAGATTATCCATATTAAATCATTTTAATTAAATTAGTTTAGAATAGTAGATACATATTGGGGTATGAAGAGCACTAAAAAGGCAGTAAAGCATGTAAGCACATGCGTAACGTCAATGGAACTTAAGTACTATCCTGAATCGGGATGCTTTCCTGAATCAAGGCCAAAGTGTGCAGGGTTATAGGATAGATTTATGTTCATGTTCACTGCACATTTTATATACCTGTTTATCCAAGTACCCTTTACCCTCTGGGTCAGCCAAATCCCATATCTGTGGAAATAAAAATAAATTATAAAATTACTTACAAAATACGTGTATATTGGAAAGCTCAAATAGAAAACATTAGTACTTGAATTGTTTATTTTTTACATATACTTTAACAATTTGAGGTTTAAAATTTTTAAAGCAAATTTTGCAGTTCAAATTTTGCAATATAAAACAAAGTGCTCTTTATTTTAAAATCAAATCCTTCTTCACACAAAACCAGATGCAAACTCTATTGAAGTCAATGGGAGTCTGTCCATTATCTTTAATGACCTTTGGATCGGGCCCTTACATCCTACAATCTGAATTTCTCTTGCATTAGAGATCACATCACAACCAACATACATAGAACAGTGATCTAGCATTTTCCTGCACTCCCTAGCCCACAGTTATAGAGAGGAGCCCCCACTCCCTCCCAATAATCCTGAACTCATGACCCAGCAGGTAAGTGAAGGAGGAACAGATTTTTCTAATATTTTGTTTTAAAATTAGTAATTTAAAATCTACTCACCTTATTGTGTAATCTCTAATCAATGTCATCTTTAACTCATTTCTCATCACAGCTAGTCTCTTTCTTTCTCAATAGGTTCTTATATCACCCTTATCACCACGGTATCTAAGCACCTTCCAGCAGTCCAATAAATTATGTGATTAACTGGTTACTTCTCTTTTACACTTCCTTCAAAGCCTCCACCATTAAAACTTTTATCCAAACCCAGGCCATCTCCCACCTTGATTACTGTAACAATCTCTTGTCTGGCCTCACAGAATCACACCTCTCCCAGCCCCTCTCTGTCCACATTTTCCTCCTCCACATCTCCCCCTCTTTGGATCCCTCCATTGGTGGATTCCTGTCTCTTCCCTTCATTTTCAGTTTCCTTTTCCTCATCCATCTATCTCAATATCTCTGTTCCCAGTTCCCCTTACTGCTACCTACACTCTTCTCAGTCATCTTGTCTGACTGCTTACTCACTTTGTCTCCTCTTCCCACTCTTACCTTTGTGCCTTGTAAGATGCTGTCTCATGAGCATAGAACAGTCTCATTGACAAGGTGCTCCCTCTTCAAGCAATTCTTTATATGACTTTATTATTAACTATCCCCTCATCTTCCTTTTACTGAACTGTTTTTTCTTGTGTGTTATAAACTTAAAATATCCACAGGAGCAGAGCTTTAGTCAGTGCAACCAAGGGAGTAACAACCAATCTACAGGTAATCTGGAGTTCAGAAAAATCAGAAGCGCACTGTATTGCACACGCTTTCTAGCAAACCACATCCACATTCACTCAATACCAGTTGTGATCATAATGCACAGGAAAAATACTGTATAATGTATGTGTGTCTCCATATAAACGCACACATACTTAACTTACTTTTCCAAGGATAATGTCTGGAAGACCTGATTTTTTAAGGAACAGTGCAGCTTCACTAGCCCCAACTCTCCCTGTGTATGTTGGATCTACCTGGAAAACAAAAATTAACTGACTTAAGTATGTCAGCTACAAAAGCAAAAGTAGAGATTGGAGATTCTCCTGTCCCTTAACCACCCAATAATAGAGCAATATTAGTACACAGTTACCACACAACAGAGGGAACACTACAAGAAACTAGACTTAGAAAGGGGAAAAACAATTTTAAAAAATTATTAAAAACATACCTGTTTGTAATAAGTCTCATACAACGGATTCCCAGTGGAAAGCTAAAAAACAAAAAGGGTTGGTGGGTGGGATAAAAAAAATGAGAAAAGCAAGAATGGACCATGATCAAATATATTCCACTTTCAGGGAATGCAAAAAAGGACTTCCTGATATGAAACAAATTAATTCAAATTATTATTTCTGTATCACTAATATTACATATTTAAAATACAAAAACATATATTATGATAGTTACAAATTTAACACCTTAAAGTTCTGAATCTAAAAATTAGGGTTCTGGCTGTATTGTTAATTGGACACATACATGCTTACAGAATGCTCTCAACAATAAAGTTTAATATTCATATTTAACCCTGATCCTGAGTTACAGAAGTCTTCCTGCACGGACCCATTTTGCAGGATTGGAGTACAGAAACATAAGTTTAGGATAAATATTATATGCAATGTAACCAAATTAACATTACTATGAGAACTGTAACACCAGTGACTTGAGAGTTTGGATTTTTTTTTAACATTAAAGTTGTTATTCAAAAGCAATAGACAGTATTAAACTGTGTATAGCTTCTCCCCCTCCATAGCCTTCCTGACACTTAAAGTAATTGTGATGGGGTGGGGTGGATGAGTCCTTATGGGCCTGCCAAACCCTGCCCCAGAAAAGGGCAGTAGAGAGGTCTAGAGCGGCTGTGTGGGAAGTAGCCAATCAGGGCCAACCAGGTTAGTATAAGAGCTGCAGGACCAGAGCTGGAGGAGAGTGGATGGTGCTCAAGGTTGGCTGCTAGGATTCCACAAGGCCAAGGCCCTGAGATAAGGATGAAGAATGTGTGGGAACCAGGGAAAGTAGCCCAGGGAATTATAACAAATTTAAAGGGACATTCTGAATGGCTGCTAGCTATAGAATCCCTGGGCTGGGACCTGGAGTAGAGGCTGGTGTTGTCTCTCCCCCCACGGCAAGTAGCCTGGACTTTGAGGCACCCCAGAAGGGGAACTGTAGTGGCCCAGCTCCCTGAGAGGGTGAAGACACTGCCTCCAGGGAAGAAGTCCTGGGGCACTGCTCTATTCCGGAGCAAGGACAAACAGAGACATCACAGAAGTCTCTGAGAGAGGCTGCCACTGGACTTGTACCCTGAAAGGAGTTTGCGTTGCTTTTCTCTCTCAGAAAGACTGTGTATGACTTGGCTGGAGGACTGAATCACCGAAGACCACCACAAATAGAGAGTGCAGGCAAGTGCACTCGGCCAAGGGGTGCTCACGAGAGGTGAGTGTGACCCCGTTACAGTCAAATAACTGGGGAATAATTGTCTAGTTTCCCAGACTTCTGGCTAAATAGATCAAAACAATAAAAATGCCTGTTTCACAGCCTCCCACACAAGAGATGGAACATTTTATTTGGGCCGAAGTTTGTAGAGGTTACAATGAATAGAGCACAATATAGAAACTGAGGGGAAATTGTGTCTGGAGCAAAACAGCCCCAGCCCCTGGGTACATTAACCATTTAAAAATGAAAACACTCAATGCATGCAAAATTTTAAAATAGCAATTTATGTAGAGAAATTCCCACACACTTAAATTATGCAATGTTTAAAATGCTATCATTCAAATCAGATCTATGGTGTGTTGTGCCTTTTCTCTTTAAACTATATCTGCTTTCTCCAAACAGCCTGTCCAGTGACATTTGTAGACAAGTTTCCACCACAACACCAACATTTCACCAGAGCAAAATGTAATAGTGCATGCTGACATGTTCAAAGTGATTCAATTCAATGCTGCATATTTCTTGATTATGCAGTCCCTATTTTATTTGTATGTTGTACATACACATCATACACAAACTACATGAAAAGTATGATATCATATACTCAAAAGTTAGGAAAAGCCAGAATTAAATTACCTCTGCAATCTTAATTCAGCCCCCCTGTGGATATGCATGTGTTTGTAATTATGTAGGTGTTTAAAAAAAGCAAACTGAAAAACCAGAAATTCCATCATGTGGAATCATAACTAGCACCCTCACGGATCAACAGTAGGGCTGAAACTTGAGATGCATACCACAGACCTCTGCCATTTAAGCTAACAGAGAAAGTGATAGCATTAATAAGTTGACACCCTCTTCATGGATCTGTCACTAGTAGAGGATGAGACCCCTTTTGCAAAGGGGTTTCCACAAAAATTTATGACCGCAGAGGAACAGTAAGACTCACAATCTTTGGTTTATTCCAAATTGTGGAGAGGACTGACCCTTCTGTTCCCATTCCCCCAAGCCTAACACATTCTGTCACATCCTCTCCACCCTGTCCCTGTACTGTCTCTCCCATCAGCTTCTTGTCCCAGTCTCCATGCTAGTCCACATTTCCCCTCTGGGCTGTCCTAGTGAGTCTTCCCTCCCCAGGCTCATTGCCCAGACAGTGCCAGTCTCCCTCTCCACTGGCACGCAGTGCCAGGCTCCTTGCCCTCACAGTCCCAGTCCAACTCAGCTCCCAGTTCTCCTCCCCTTAGGTTACAATCCTAAATCTTCCCCTTGCCAGGCTCTTTGTCCCAGTGTGCTCCCTCTGCCACACCTGTCCTCCTCCCTAGGTCTGGCTTAGTCTCTCTGTATTCTAATCAAACCGTTTCCTCCTCCATGCTGCCTGGGTGCCTGTTCCCCAGAGGGAACATTGAGAGAACGAGAGAGTCTCCATATTCTCGGTTCTGTGACATAGTGACCTGCAACAATTGGCAGGAAAGTCCTGCTCAGCCCATGTAGTCCTGGGTTGGAGCATGCTCGGTACAGACAGACTCTTCAGAGAATCTAGAGTCCAATCTCTACTGAACATGTGCAAACTTAGATTTTTTCCCCCAGTCTTATAAGATGGCCAAACTTGGGTTTTTATTTCCCGCCATGAGAATAGCAAAAGGTTCATCCCTGACACAAAGGCAACTTCCTGCCAAAATTTCAAGTTCCTGCTCTAAAACACGGAGGCACACTAGCACTACAGCTTCTCAAGAAAACAGCTAAGATTGTGGGGTTTGTTTTTTTTAATATAATCATGGGCAAAATGACATCTCCTTCTCCCCCCCCCCAATATTTTCCTCAGAAATGGCTGGACCATTTTTATTAAAACTTTATTAAAATATGAAGGCTGAGACAGATACTTGACTTGGGAAATTGTAAGCCAAATAGTTAGAAATTGGCAAAGATATAGGCAACTGAAAACAGGGTCTTACAAGGGGAAATGTCAGGCAACCTGAAGTATAGGTGGAGCTTTCATATTTACGTGAGTGGGCGTGTGCACGTGCACATACGTCTTGTGTCTTAACAGAATTAGAAGCATGTGCTTAATGTGCCACTAGGAAGGGAAGAATCCTGGCTTTCCAATAATACACGGTTCCCTTTGTGAGTTCTGATTGGTACCCAACTGAATATTGCTCATCCTTCACTTTGACCATTTTTGGGGGTGTCTGTGCATATTTGGGGAAAGATGGAAATGGTCTGTGTCATGTTGATTTTTATCTTTGGAAAGCTAGTAGAAATCCCAGGGAGATGAAATAGCTGGTAGAGCGCTGGTGAGGTAAAATATACATAATTAAATTTATCAAAGGGTATCACCACCACTTCCTGTTTTGATATAGCATTGAGATTTGATTTTATATGCATGCTTTTAGGCCCTGATCCTATGAATACTCATGGACGTGCTTAACTTTAAACACAAACAAGTCCTGCTGATTTAAAATTAATGCAATTATTCACATGCTTAAAATTAAGCACATGTTGATTTGCAGAACTGGAACCTTAGACTGTATAAAACAGAAGGTACAATGGAACAAACCTTCATTTATTGGGAACATTACTGATATATTACAAGCACCTCACATTTTTGCATTCTGTATAAACAAAAATAATACAGCCCATTTGAGTTATTATGTAAATGTTTACAATCACTTATGTCCAGTCTTATTCTGGATGCCTCCATGTAAAGATACTTAAATTATATTACATCCGTTTTTTCCCCCCTATTCTTTTGTATTCCATTTTGGTGGATTTTTACACACTCTCTCTGACAGTTCTGTATAGTCAAAAAATCTTTCCCAAGGAAACTACACAACACTGCTAACTAATTATTTAGAAAATGTATCAATGTTGAAAGAAAGAACAACATCCTGTCCACAGCAAGACGACCTAGTCTTTCAGTAGCACATACAAATTGCATAAAAATAGATAATACCAAAAGAACTTGGAACAACAATCTCCCAAACATCAAAGGAGACATGTGCAACTAACGATATAAAAGCAGGATTTCTAGTATGGTAAATATCTGAGACTTGCCATATGGGGTACATTTAATCAATCCACTGTAAAACTGTTTTACCTACTTTATTAGATGAGTCTTTAGCAAGCACTATAACTACCAAGTTCTATGAAAGAAAAAATGTTCCCCTCTGAAGTCTAAGATACCACAAATGGTAGCTTGATATGAAAGGCCAGAGTCTAATCACAAATTTAAATTGTAAACATCCGTATATATCATGAAAACATCTAGTATGATATTTATACACTTGTGGGTTTTCTTTCACATGCTTGTCAGCCATACTGTTTATCAGATCAGAAATGCTTTCTATCACAAAATTAGGGTAATTATTTAAAAAAATTCTACCCTAAAGTTTAAGCAAAATCATGAAAACAAAGTGCATCCCCAAAGACAGTCCTTTGCTTCCTTTGTATATTTTGTTTAGAATTAATAAATAAAAGACAGAATGCTTGCCATCTTTCACTTAAAAATTCTGTTTTATCCATCGGGGGTATGTGTGACTACAGCCTCATTGCAACCACAGCCAACTTTGGAATTCTTTCTTTGCTAGAAACTTAGCAAGAATACAAATTAGCAACAGTGAAAAACGTATTTGGGGCCAATCAAGGCTCTGATCTGTGCCCCAAAAAGGGCTAGAAAGCAACACTCTCCCATAATGAGGCACTTGGCAAATTGTGTTGTATAACAAATTATATCAAACACTGTGGAAACATAACTCCTCAGAGTGTGACAAAGCTTTTTCTTTTTAAAAAGACCCACCTTATTTCTTCAGAGCGCTAAAATGTGTCTAAAGTAATTATTCTGAGCATGCTGATACTTACTTTTTGAACACAAGTCCACTGGAGTTTCACTCTGGCATTCTTAAAAGCAGTGCAAAATATGGTGGGTTTTTAAAAATTTATTACTCATGGTCAGTACATGGAACATTAAGTTTCTATGGCACAGTAAGTTGAGTAAAAACAATAACTATTTTGCAAAAGTCTGACTTCTGAACAGATTCATCCAGGTAACTAGATCTGTTTCTCCCACAATGATCATTACACACAACTTGTCAAAGACTTCAAGAGAGCAAGGAGTTACTTGACTTTATATCAGAAACCCAATTCAGCAAGTTGCTTGAGCTTTTAAAGCTCTATACAAGAGAACATGCATTTCAGGGGTGAAATTTAAAAGTGAAATAGAAAGCTTTTAATATTTTCTAAAATGTATGTGAAGCCGGAGGGTCTTATGTTGCAAAGACAGCATGGATCTATGTATCCAAGTGAAGTCCCACAAACTGTAAGAGAAGATAGAACCCTGAGCTCGGGACTTGGGGGAAAAGAGACTTAGTTATATATTTATTACTATAAAGTGGAAACATTTTATTAGTTACTTATTTGGGTTCTGGAGCTCCCCACTTAACTGTAAACCTTCTTGCTGACAAATACCAGGAATGCGTAATGTCATTAGTAATATCTAGTGCCTTCCTCATTTGAAATCTAGATCAGATTTGCCTATAAATATTCAAATACACTTGGAAGACTGACAGTTGTCTTTCTAAATACATGATTGATCTATTGTAAGTGGTGAAGAGAGGGTTTCACTTTAAAGACATTGGGTAGATTTATCCCCTCATAGGAAATTAGTTAGATAATGTCTGCAAAGCACTTTGCAGAGGTAAAGGACTATGTAAGCACCAAGTATTGCTGCCATTATTCAAGATTTTAGGTAAGCATATAATGGCAAGTGTCATGGTAGGGGTCTACTACAGACCATCAAATCAAAAAGAGGAGATGGATGAGGCATTTATAAAACAAACCAATATCCAAAGCACAAGACTGGGAAGTAATGGGGGCCTTTAACCAGACATCTGTTAGAAAAGTAATACAGTTGTTGGAATGTATTGGAGACAGATTTTTGTTTCAGAAGAGGTGGAAGTAACAGGTGGAAGGGACAGCCCTTTTGGACTTGATTTTGACCAACATGGAGAAATTGGTAGAAAATCTGAAGGTGAAAGGCAATTTGGGTGAAAGTGATCATGAAATAGACTTCAGGATTCTCAGGAAAGGAAGGAGTGAGAGCAGTGGAATAGGGTCATGGAACTTAAAAAAACTCCTCCCACTTTAATAAACTCAGAGAACTGGTAGGTAAGGTCCGGGGGGGAGGGAGGGATTCAGGACGGCTGGCAGTTTCTCAAGGAGAAAATATTAAAGGCATAACTGCAAACTAGTCTGAGGCAAAGGAAAGATAGGAACACTAGTGAGTGGCCAATATGGCTCTCAGGAGCACTTTAATGATCTGACAATCAAAAAGGAATCCTACATAAAGTTGAAACGTGGACAAATTACTAAGGAGGAGTACAAAGGAACAGCACAAGCATGTAGGAACAAAATTAGAAAGGCTAAGGCACAAAATGAGTTACATGTAGCAAGGGACATAAAAGGCAGTCAGAAGAGGATTCTTTAAATACAGAAGGAACAAGAGAAAGATGAATCAAAGCATAGGTTCTCTATTTTGCACTAATAAGTTAAAAATGATGACAAGAAAGCTGAGGTGTTTAATGTCTATTTAACTTTTGTCTTTATTAAAAAAAGCTAATGGTGACCAGATACTCAACATAATTAATATTAACAATAAGGGGGAAGGAATGCAATCCAAAATAGGGAAACAACAGGTTAAAGAATATTTAGATAAGTGTGATGTACTCAAGTCAGCAGGGCCTGATGAAATTCATCCTAGGATACTTAAGAAACCAGCTGATACAATATTGGAACTGTTACCAGTTATCTTTGAGAACTCCAGGAGCATGGGTGAGGATCTGGAGTTTTAGTGGATCACAAACAGAATATGAATCAACCATGTGATGCAGTTTCAAAAAAGGTTAACTATTCTTGGATGTATTTACAGGAATGTCATGTAAGACCTGAGAGACAACTGTCCCCTCTATTGGGCCTCAGTGGAGTACTGTGTCCCATTCTAGGTACTGCACCTTAGAATAGACATGAACAAAACTGAGCGAGTACAGAGGAGAAAGCAACAATTATAAAAGACTGAGAACCTGTCCTATGAGGAAAGGTTTTAAAAAACAAAAAAATGGGCATGGTTAGTCTTTAGAAAAGAAGGGGGGGGAAGAGAAGGAAACCATCAACTACAATAAAGTAGAACCTCAGTTATGGAACATCTTAGGAATGGAGATTGCTGGTAACTCTGAACAAAACATTATGGTGGTTCTTTCAAAAGTTTACAACTGAACATTGAGCTTTACTATGCAAAAGAAAAAGGCTACTTTCCCTGTTTTTTTAGTAGTTTACATTTAAACACAGTACTGGGGAGGTTTTTGTGTGTGTCTCCACTGCTGTCTGATTGTGTACTTTGAGTTCCAAATGAAGCATGTGGTTGACTGTCAGTTTACAACTCAGAGGTTCTACTGTATTTATGACCCCCAAATTTCCATCACAACAGTATGCAAGCACCTCTCCAAGATTAAAAAAAAAACTTTTCACAACATCCCTGTGCACTAGGCAGTATTAGCTCCATTTTACAAATGGGGAAACCAATCCATAGAGAAATGAACTGACTTAAGTAAGATTACACCAGGAGTCTACAACAGAGCTGAGAACTGAATCAAAGTGTCCTGAGGCCTAGTCCAGGGCCTTCACCACAAGATTATGCTGCCCCTTCCACTACAGTGGTTCAATACCAGGCCCTACAGCTTGGGTGGGAAAAAGGGAACATCAACGATCTTCATCCCAACGAGGAAGCGAGCGTCCGTCCTCCGTCCCTGAGATTCCACCTCAGAGCCTGCTGCTGGGAAAGGGGCTCAAAGACCCCCCGGCAACCCAGCGACCGGCTCCCTCCCCAAATGCTCAACCCTGCCCCGGCTGCTGAGGGCTCCGAGCACTGACCCGCCAGCACCGGATGGGGCCCAGCTTCCCACACCCAGCTTCTGCTCTCCCGCCATAAGCCGGTTTAATTCGCCGGTTCCAGGCCGCCACCCAGAGGCCTGTCCCCCTGGCCCGGGTTTTCCCCCGGCGGGGTCCAACCCCCGACCACAATTAGTGGGGCCTCTGGCCCAGGCCAGGCCGGGCCGGTTACCTGCTGGCTGTGGGGAATGAGCGCCGCCATCTTCCTCCCACTGACTGACTCCGGCGGGGCGGGGGGAAGGCGGAGCGATCGCCGCCGAGGGGAGTGGGGAGGGATCAGCGGGCCCCGCCAGGCACCGCAGGCAAGTGGCCCGGCCTGTTCCTGCTTCACCGGGAGACGAGTCCTGAGGCCGGACTCGAGGTGCAGATGAGAGGACTAGGAGGTCCCACTACAATGCTGTGCAACTCCGTAACAATGAGACCGTAGCTGCTTTTATCTGAGGGTGTCAAAACATTTTACAATAGCCCATCATTATCCCCCTTTGTACAGACCTTTGGGGAAACGGGCTTGCCCAACGTCAATTGCAGAGTCAAGTAACGGGCAGGAATCGTGAGTTGCAGTCTCCACCTTCAGTTCCCAGAGAATATATTTACATCATGGAATACGCTAGGGCAGAGTTAACTTAACTAAATAAACAGGTGGCTGTGCTAACAGTAAATTGGCATGTTTGTTAAAATATATTTCCACGGATAACATGAAATTCACACACAAAAGCTAAATTTGTTAATGTGTCACTGGAGGCACTTTTCAAAAATATGTTAGGGTAGGTTAAGCCTCTTTACACTTCTAAATTTTAGCTTAATCAGGTTCTACAAATCACATAAAACTGGGGTGTTAGTAACTGTTTATTCATATAGGAGTCTGGTGGCACCTTAAAGACTAACAGATTTATTTGGGCATAAGCTTAGAGTCACTCTATGCATCCGAAGAAGTGAGGTTTTTACTCACGAAAGCTTATGCCCAAATAAATCTGTTAGTCTTTAAGGTGCCACCAGACTCCTTGTTGTTTTTGTAGATACAGACTAACACGGCTACCCCCTGATGTTTATTCATATATTAACTGATGAGATTTTTTTTTAATTCAAGGGTTTTTATGTACTAGAGATTCCTCTCGATCAGCTCTTTCTTCTCCAGTCACTTTTAAACACCTTAAACCTTTAACAGGCAATGTAGTCTAATGGACAGAACAGGTGACTGGGTGTTAAGACTCCTGACTCTGGGAGGGACTCCAGGGCTTGTCTAAAGACACTTGTCACTATAGTCAAGGTATAGTAAAACAAGTTAATGGTCACTGCAGAGACTTCTGTTTTTCTGGTCATTGTGTCAGCAACATACTGAAGGCAAAAAAAAAAAAAACAGAAAAGAGACAGCCAAACATCCTTGGGTTATTTTATCTCTCTCTCACACACAAAGATTAAAAGAACATTAAGATTGCATCTATTTCCCACCCCCCTCAGGAACTTGTCTGAGTGCTGCCACCTCATTCCCATGACTGTCTCCTTGCCTAGCCAGTCCCTGTCTCCATCCCTCAGTCACCTCATCATAGTCCCTTGGCCAGCTAGACCTAGTCCCCTACTCTGCTCTCCTCATCGAAATCAGTCATCCCCCCCACTCCGCTTCTCAATCCCTGTCTCCTTGCCTCAGTCTTCTTGCTCAGCCAGTTCATCTTCCACACTAGGCATCACATCTGATCTCAGTCTTCCCCCAACCCACTTTCACTCCCAGTCCCACTCTTCTCTGCTGACTCCAGGTTCAATCTGTCTGCATTCCTTCCCCCTTGGTTCCCAGTTTCATTGCCTCACCACTTAGGGTGACCAGATGTCCCAATTTTATAGGGACAGTCCCGATTTTTGGGTCTTTTTCTTATATAGGCTCCTATTACCCCCACCCCCTGTCCTGATTTTTCACATTTGCTGTCTGGTCACCCTATCACCAGTCCCCCTTCAAGCTCCTTGTCCAAATCTACCACCCTCTGTTATTTCCTGTCCCTCCCATCAGACGAGTACTGCTCTTGTCACTTCTGTATTAGAACCAGGCAACTTTCTCTTTCATGCTGCCTGGGCACCAGTAGGGGGAGCATTGAGTGCACAGAAGAGAATCTCTCTGTTCCTGTATCACAGCAGCTTGTAACAGTCAGGAGCAGCAATTACAGAAGTCCTGCTGAACCCTGAGCTGGAGCATGCTCAATATTGCTGGAATCTTTGGACAATTTAGTTACCAAACTCTAACAAGTCTCTACTAAGTAAGTTTAAATTAAGATTTTGCAAAGATTTATAACTTGGCTACATGTAGCAATTTTTCCATAGAAACAGCAAGAGCCATGCTGCTATATTGGCCTGGTTATTGGGGTATAGGACAGTATAAGTTTAACTTGACAAGAGTCTGTCAAGAAAACCAAACAGAGAGGAAAATAATAGCTCAAGATAATATTCAGCTCTATCTAGAACTTTTCATCAGTAGATTTCAAAGTATTTTATAAAGGTCAGTATCATTATCCCTGTTTTACAAATGGGGAAAACTGAGGCACAGAGCAGTGACATGGCTTGCCCAAAGTTACCCACAGGCTAGTAGCAGAGCCAAGAAGAGAATCCTGCTCTATACATGAGGCAACATTGCCTTTACTTAGTCACTCCTCAGCAAACACTTGAGGGCTGTTAAGGGACAATGCCAGAACCACTGGCTCCGAGGACTCTGGCCTGATTGCCAGCTGAGCCTAACATTACTGGTTTTGACCAGAAGGGTCAAAGTCTAGAAATGCAGGAGAATAAAAAGCCTATAATAGGGCTTAAAAGGGCCACTCTTCAGGAGAGGGTTCTTCAGGAGAGCTAGAACTGAGACAAAGGAACCACTTTGAAGAAGTTAGACCTGCTTAAGTTGCCTCAGGCAATAGTAAGCCTTTAAGTTAGGTAGATTTGCATGTAGACTTTTTACTATTTTAAAATTCTTTTCTCTAAAAGGTTTGTTCCTTCAACAAAATAAATATATTTTTTGCTTTAAGAAAGGTGTTTCATCACTGTATATCACTGGTCACAGACTCCGAAAGGGAAGAGCTGCAGGCTGAACTAAGTTGGACCTGCAGGGGAAGAACAGTACATACACAGGGTTCTATAACCCAAGGCTTGGTCTAGGAATAGAAGAATTGTGAAATTCCACTCCCAGAAGGCATGAGGCCTGGCATGTCTGAAGGTGCACATAGAGATACTACAAAGGGGCCAGGGAAGCAGCTAGCCCTATAACTATGACACAAGCATAATTACTATGGAAGTTCTTCAAGCCTTCTTTCTTCATTAAGACTTTGTACAATGTTATGTAGCAACATATACTTCACAAATCAGGAATGCTGTCTTTGAAAAAAGTAATTTTTGAAAAAGCTTTTGTGATGAAGAGACAAGGCAGGTGAGGTAATATTTTTGATTAGACCAACTTCTGTTGGTGAGAGAGACAAGCTTTCAAACTCTGTGTAAACTCAAAAGCTTGTCTCTCTCACCAACAGAAGTTGGTCCAATCAAAAATATTGCCTCACCCCCCTTGACTCACTAATATCCTGGGACCAACATGGGTACAACATTGGATACAAATTTTGTGATGAAGGGAGAATTTCACGACACAATTTGCGTGTATTTTACATTAATATTAATGATGAAAGATAAAACAGTCTAGAGCCAAAGAGGTTGGTTACAAGACTTCTGACTGCAGAGGAACATACTGTATGCCAACAGCATCAAGAGAAATATAATGGCCCTTCTTTTAGAAATATATACCAAATCCTAACTCAAATACAAAATATGTAATTTAATATATTTTAATAAGGTTTTTTTATTGAATTCTTTCAATTCCATGTTCTATTTACAGGAAACATTTTTCTTAACATCTCCCTGTGCTAAAAATATATATTTAAATCTCATAAAAATGAATCGTTCTAACAAAGTTTTATTAGAGGAAGTTTTAAATATTACTTTCAATTAGTTATTAAGAATACATCTGAACCTCTATACAACAAATTAGAGAAAAGCCAAACTTTAGAGATTTCTTTGAAGTCTTTTTAAATAAGAATTAAAGCTCTTCCTTCTTCACAGTTATCCTGTTCAAGTTAGTTTTTCCAGATTCTTTTTGCTTTTCTACCTTCCTGTTAAACCTTTCCCTAAAACGCTTTTCTTCTTTTGCCCTTTCCCTTTTCTTTTCTTCTTCAGTCTGTTTTATGTTCATTTTCTCTTCAGGGTCCTGAAGAAATAATGAAAAGGTCAGTTCACAGTAAATGTCATTTTGGGTCCAATTCTGCCAGCCCTCTGTGTACTGAATTTACATTGAAGTCAATAGGAGGGAGTTTGCCAATAGAGGAATTGCAAGGGCCTTTATTTTTAATGGGCATCTAAACTTCCTTACAGAACATCTTTCCAAACTACACACATAGATTATACTTTAGCAGCAAATGTTTGTTGAACTATTGGTTGTTTTCTTAAAATGGAAGATCTGCTACAAGAATACAGGGGGCCAGATTCTGTCCCTGGCCCCTATAGAGCCCTCAGCAGCAAAAGGGGCTTCAACAGCCAGAAGGAAAACTGTCCCCAGGGTAGAAGTTGCATAGGGCTGACATGCTCTATGCTGCCCCCATCATGCTGGAAGTAGGAATAAACTTGTGGAGGACAGGAGGAGGAGTGGCTGTAGTGTTCAGCATTATGGCTTTTCTGGGCTGCAGAGCAACCCATTTGCAGCCTTAGGGAGGCTGTTGTAAGGCTGCGCTGGCCACAGGAGGCTGCAGAATCAGGACATTTATTCCAGAAAGAACAAACCCTAAATTATTAGTAACTTAGGGCTAAAGTCTGACCTCAGTACAACCCTATAAACGTCAGTGGGATTGCAGGAGTGTACATGAATAATCTAATTATTATTATTGTAATTACTGAATCATAGATTACGTGCCTGGCACTATTCTAGAAAAAAATATCAAAGTAAGTTCCTTGGGGCTTTAAGCAACCTTTGTGGTCTCTTGACCCTAGGCTGCTCCAAGGGCCAGAGAGGCTCCTAGCAACAACCTGTTGGAGCTACTTTATTGCCGCAGTGCAGTCTTGATTATTTGCAGCACTGTGTGCTCTGTAATCCTTTCCCCAGCATACTCACTTCACCAGGGCTTCTGAGGGGGTCCACGGAAGGCAACCTTATGGGTAGGGTGACCAGATTTCCCATTTTTAAGGGACAGTCCCATTTTTTGGGACTTTTTCTTATATAGGCGCCTATTACCTCCCACCCCCGTCCCGTTTTTTCACAGTTGCTATC